CAGTTCATCTCAAGAGTCAATTGGGCTCATGATGCGGGGTTTGTCAAGTTACTCAGGAGTCTCTGCGTGCGAGTGTTGCAAGGGTCGACTAAAATCGGATAAGTCGCTCGGGGTTTCCCCGGGAACATTGTTTATGGCCTTGTGAGCATCTTCAGAATCGCCATCTGCAGCCTGTCATTCAGGTGGCAACGTCGATTCATTGAATTCTCTCAAGGTCTGATGATGAGAAGTTGTTGAACTTCGAGAGGTTTCCTTTCATTCAACTCACGATTTCCGTGAAAATTGTCTCAAGCTTTGCTCTAGCCCCATTTGAATGAAAAGTTGTCCAACACAGTATCTGAAGCGAGAGTCCACGATCTGAAGCAAAATTTGACTGCGGCCTGAGTCCCATGTTCGAAATTAATATGCGAAGCGTCCGTTATTCGGGTATAAGTGTACAACTAACCTTGCGATACAAAGTGTTTGCTATTCGATAAAACTTGGCTATTTGTGTCACCTCATGGAGTAAGAATTCTGTAAAGCTGGCGCGTTTTGGGTGGAATTCTGGAGCTAGTCCGTTAAAATCACGAATGATTAAAAAAAATCGTTGGACTCGCTCAGTCGTGATTATCTGAAAATTGACAGCTGTCGAAGGATAATTTCGTTTACTCCTGGTCACTGAATAATCCGCTCGATTTTCGCTTGATGCTTTTGCTCCGATAGGAATCGGAGTGCGCGTGATTTATGCAACTTCCCTGCTCTTTCTGCAATAATCCCTCTTCGGAAAAACTGCGTCCCTTCGTACGGAAGAAACAAATCGTGTAGTTGTTACAGAGATGCGTCAGACGAAGATTTTGAGTCGAATGTTCAAATAGAGGTTTCATGCAGTCGCCACCTGCACGTGCGCCAGTTCTTTCGAATACAGTATGCCTATTTATAATATGGATGCACGATTGATCAGTTTTAACCAGGTCATATTAATCGGGGATATCGTCGAGAATTATAACCGCTGTAATGAGCTTCATTGCTCGCACTCGATTAAGTTGCTTGAAAGTAAGTGCTCTGAGTGAGGATGCCTAGGGTCATCCGCATTGAAGCTCATGAATGAGTTTATATCGGCGAGTCTTCGTCTCGCATGCCACGAACCGGACGGCAAAGGAAGCCTGCCCTCGAGGTTCGTGGCCGGGTCCCTTGCTTTCCAAACCCAGCGTGACCTGCAGGCGAAGTAATCGTGATCACCTCTCAATGAGATGCGGTTGAAGCTCCTTCAAAATCCGATCCGAATAAAATAATGAAGTAGTTGGACGTTTAACTTATTTTAAGCTGCTGAATACCAAATTTGAATCAGTACCACTCGGAAACCCTTCATCGTCCTGTAACTGTGTCGAGAATGTCTTAATCCCCGGTCGGGGAATATTCTCGAGTATCAAAGAGGGCTTTTAAACATGCCAATCGCTATAAAGTTCATCTACAAATTTGCATGTAGCATTTTCGGCTGCATGCGAAGTCCAAATGTTTGCAGTCAAAATTTCTATACGGAAATATATGTGGATGCAGCGGCAAGCACATGGCATAGAATGGAAAAATCGATACGATTATGGAAGAGTTGGAGTAATGTCTTTCTAGCAAAATTTAAAAGCATTGTTTTTTTCTGTCTGTGATTTTCTTTCTTTGTCGCATTTGTCCTCGGGTACTGTATTTGCATGTACAGTATTACAGCAAAGAACGGTATCTAAAATTTATCCTATGAAAATTTAGATCCTCGTGAGTTTCCTCCAGGTTTCTCGGTCAAGTGCCACATGCACGTGTCAATTTCTGCCAAATGGTGTCATTTTCCCCCTTCGTTGTTGTTTTTTGGCATTTTAGCGTACCTGCTTTTCACCGATTGAAAAAAGGTCTCATCTCCAACTTCGAATCAAATTGAAAATGTCATCATGGAGTAAACTGGTGAACTTTGAGTACCTCTTCTTGATTATTCAGCTAATTTTAGGAGTTTGAAACCCACGAAGACCGCATCTCCATTCAAAGAATCAATCGACGAATACTGTACTACACTGTAAACCGCACGCGACGAGAGAATCCGGACATGAATCAGCCCATTTCTATTTTCCCTTCCCTTTTTTGCTACACCGTCTTCTGTCAATTCGAAAGAAACGGCATCAATTTGCAGGCAAGACAATGACGTAATCCTGCTTGAAAGGAAAGAAGTAACGAGCATGTTCTGTTCAGTACTTCTTGGTCCTTGATTTTTGCTACACCGTCTTCTGTCAATTCGAAAGAAACGGCATCAATTTGCAGGCAAGACAATGACGTAATCCTGCTTGAAAGGAAAGAAGTAACGAGCATGTTCTGTTCAGTACTTTTTGGTCCTTGTGGAGGTGCACGTCGCCGCCGGTTTTTGCGGTCGGTCGAGGTGGCAGTGCTTCAGCGGGCAAGGAATTGTCCTCCCACGTGAAAGATTACCACATCGGATCGTCAGCCGCTGGGTCCACGCCTCGCCATTTCGTCATCAAGGCTCTTCTTGCAATTCCTCGCAGAATTTCGCGCTGGGTTGCGCCAATCTCAGTCAGAAACCGTTTCCTACGTTCACACTCAACGGGGTGGTGATATACGTAGATCAGGGTTCCTCAAGCTTGTTCTGGACTGCACCAATTTCTATATACAGTAAATGACAGCGTTCTCGTACTCCCTATTGGACACTGAGTATCACTAATAACTTCAACTTGATGGAAGGAAACCCTACTTTACTCCTATTTTAACCCTTTTCAGAAAACGTAATCTTCAGTTTTCGGGTTTGGTCAGGTTATACATATTCAGAAATGCTATATTTGCAACATTCTCCACAATGGGAAAACGCGGCCATGAAGATAAAATACGGCTGGACGGTAAATTCATGATTTTCTTCGGCGAGGAAAGTATATATTCGGTCTACATATACATCGCCATTCCCAACCAGCACTTAATTAACTGGTGACTAGTTTTGAGGCGATACTCACCTAATATCCGCAGTGCAGTCACGAGGGTTGCGGCGGTAAACCGTTGAATGCAAACCATGGCCCCCAGCAAAAACCCTAACCACTGAGACTAGCATTACTATAGTAATTTAGGCAAATTTTTGTGAAGCGCTCTAATTTTTTAATTGATTGAAATAACATGAAAATGTGGATTTTGAAGATGGAGCTTCAGCGTCAGATGAGTGAAATCTGTGCCTTTTCCCTTTAGGAAATAGTGGATAAAAGAGTAGAAGTTGACTGAAGAAAACCTTGTGCCAATAGTTGGAGAAAAGGATCGGATTAATGACATTTGTTATGGCTTTCTTCATCGAAGATCAAATTTCGGAATTTTATTTGACTGATTCTCGTATGACAAAATTCAGAAAATGCCAGGAAGACTACACAGTAGTTCTGAGCAGCAAGACCACGCCTTATAAAAAGGGCTTTTGAGTCACTGCGTTTCAACATCCGTATCGA